TGTATAACCCTGAGGGTCTCCTTCCATTTCCATGCAATTTCCCTTCTCTCTCCCTTTCCCTCCCACCTCTCATCCCTGTTTAATGTTAATCTTCTTCTCATGCTCTTCGACCCTACTCTGTTCTTAGTTACTCTCCTTATATCAAAGAAGACATTTGGCATTTGTTTTTTAGGGATTGGCTAGCTTCACTTAGCATAATCTGCTCTAATGCCATCCATTTCCCTGCAAATTCTATGATTTTGTCATTTTTTAATGCAGAGTAATACTCCATTGTGTATAAATGCCACATTAAAAGAGGTATCTTAATGGAGAAATAAAATTCATGTTAGGTAACATTTCTTTCTAAAAACTTAGCTGTTTTGGTAGACAGTAGTAAAGTATAGTTTTTTGTAGTGCACTTGCCAGACACACTGGGAACTTTGTGGACCTGTCCTTCATTCTCACAGATGGTACTGTCAAGGCTAGGGAGAGATAATCTGTGAGAATCCCACAAATCTCTGAGTCCACTTAGAGTTCAGGATCTATCTATATTCTCACTGTCTCTGCTAGTTCCCACCCTAGCCCAAGACAATATTATCTCTTACCTACTCTACTGCAAAAGCCCCCTTCTTGGATTCCTTGCTTCCCTAGTTTTCCTGTAACAGTCTATCCTCGACTCAGCAGCCAGACAGATGCATTGCATCACAGTACCTTCCCTTTGCTCAAAAACTCAATAGCAACTTCTCTTTTTTTAGAATGCATTCTTTGTGACATTTACAATTTTAAGACAGAACTTTAGTTCACAACTTGCTCATTTCATTCTTCTTTTAAAATACAACAGAGAAGCAATTATAAATAAAATTATCTATTAGACTCCAAAAGTATGCCAGAACTTTAATCCAAATCAAAAGATATTCAGATCATCAAAGAAGCATGTTAAAGAAAAACAGTATTGGTTTCTAGGAAAATTAAGATGAAAAATGAGAAATTTCTGGCACAGAGTGTGATTGAAGGAATCACAGTGGAGAATAATTAACACTTGGGTTTAAATTTCATTTGGGGGGAATCTTGTCATATATTTTAATGTCTACAATTAATAAATGTGCCCACCAGTGGCTTTTATTACATTCATGGTAAATAAAATGCAAAATGCTCACCAGTTCTTCAAAGATTTTCACAATACTTCTGACCCTGTCCCCTGGGGTTTTTGGTTTGTTTGGTTGGTTGGGTAGGTGGGTTTTTTGTTCACCCTGCTTTGCCTTGCTGCATAAACCTCCTTGTTATTCTTCAAGCACAACAGGAATACCCTATGTCAATGCTTTTATTTTCATACAACCTTCTCTCCTTGGATCATTCTTCTCCTGGGAATTGCATCTTGTTTCCATTTCCTTCAACCTGAATGTCATCATCTCAGATCAGCCTTTCCTGATTACTCTGTTTAGAGTAGCTAATCCTAATTCATTTTTCATTTCTTTTTCTTTCCTTTTTTGGGGGAAGCAGGGGGGACTACCAGGGATATAACTCAGGGGCACTTGACCACTGAGCCACATCCCCAGCCCTATTTTGTATTTTATTAAGACACAGGGTTCTCACTGAGTTGCTTAGTGTCTTGCCATTGCTAAGCTGGAAAGGCACTGGACAGACATGTTATAGCAAAAAGATAAGAAAACCTTTAGAAAGAACGTTGCACACATGAGTGGTTTTCTGTTGCAAAGGTCTGAATTATAGAGTGCAGTTGAAATGTGAAAATCTTTATAGAATTGGTGATGAGGGGAAAAATTGAATACGATAATCCCAGCCGCTGGGATTATAGGTACACAACACAATGACTGACTTTAGTTCATTTTTCTTTGTAGCACTTTCCACAACTTAATACATTTATAAAATAATCTTGATATTTATTGTCTGTATCTTCACAAAAGAAAGTAAGCTCCACAAATGATCTTTTGTTATGTCACTGCTGTTTGTCCAATGCCTAAAACCATGTTGACTTACTAAATTAAAAGCTTATTAACTTATAGAATAATTGAATAATTGAACCAGAGTTGGTTGCATATCCTGCCAATCTGGAACATCCCAGGTGAGACAGGAAGGGAAAGTGAGCCTTCAACAACTGAGGGAAGCACAAGGTACAAACGATATACTGGAGGGTGTGAACATCCTGGATGATGCTGCATCCCATAAAAGACTGGGTTTAGTGACTGTATTCCATGAAAATGGCAGCAGTTGCACCTGTGTGTGCTAAAGAAACAATAGCAACAACCCATCCAAGTTCTATCACTGGCAGTTAGTTAGAGGCCACAATTTTAAGTACTCATCCAGGCCTGGCCAATATGTAAATTCTTCCTACATTGACCTGTCAGGCCATTCTTTCATTTGCAAAAATGAACAATGTAGATTTTTTTAAATGTATTACTAAATATCAGTTTTTATGAATAAGTATCTGGGTCTATGTAAGTTTTCCCTTTCTGTATGTGCATTTCATGTTTCTCTTCCCCTACATGTGGGTCTCTTTACATGTCTCTAGGTATCTATGTGTATCTGTGTATGTTTGCACCTGTGTTAGGCTATATATGCATGTTTTGGTTATTTGAGCATAGGTGCAACTGTGGTTCTTTTCAGATCTTTATTAATATGTGCATGTGGGGTGCGTGTGTGTGCACGCACATGCGCGCGTATGTGAGGAAAGACAGGGATATCAAATATATTTAGTCACTTTTCTGCAAAATAAACAAAACCAAACCTCAGATGAGGGCATGTAGGTGCAGCCATTTTATTGACAGATCTTGCAGCCATCACCAATGGTCTAATATTCAGTAAAGAAAGCATTGGTTGCTTTCTCCTTTTCCAGGACTACTCCTGGTTGGAAGCATCAGAAGAGGTTTTTTAAAAAAGAAAAAAAAAGGCAGATGAGGTGATCATGAGTCAGCAGACAGGTAGAAAGCAGACAGGTAGATGTGGTATTTAGAATCCCTGGGATCTCATGAGCTTGCGAATAGCCGCATTGGTGTCCCCTTCAGTAGCAATGAGTGCCTGTAGATTGGCATGGTGATTCCCAAATCCCATGGCCTGAAGAGATTCCATCTGCTTGCTGAAACGAATCTCAAGGGCTTGTAGAAAGTGGGAAGGATCTCCAGCTAGGGATTGTAGCTTCTGCAGGACTGTTCCAAGTACGTGGCAGCACTCGGATCTCTTGGACTCGGGTATATCCGGCATATTCCAGGCCCAGTGCACTGGGTCAGGATAGTTGCAGTTGGGGGCAGAAAGACAACCTAGGCCCCATGAGTAAGGTGCAACCCAGGGCAGAAGAACAGGAGCCTCTGTGGCCAACAGCTGGAGTCCCTGCTCGATCTGCAATATTGCTTGTGACGCTTTAGGGTTAGTAAGGGCTAAAAGAAGGTCAGAGAGTTGTGACTGCTGCAGGAATGTGGGCAGCTGCTGTTTCCACTGGTCATTCAGCTGGGGCATACCCATGAACACCATCTGAGCTGCCAAGTGGGGATTATTCATAAGTAACTGCATCATGCCTCCTGCGATCTGAGAACTATTCTGCTCATCTGACAACTGGGGATCTTCCTCCAACTTTTGTTCAGGACTATCTATAGAGATAGTGGCATCCTGGTCTTCCTCTTGAGACTTTTGGATAACTTCTTTACTAGGCAAGGCTGCTATCTCAGTATCATGGACAGGGCTTTGGTCGTTGGTCGAGATCGTGGAAGTATGGTTGACTCTGTTTGGGGTGGCGTTGGTTGAGATGCCATTGGTTGAGATGGAGGAAAAACCACGGGAACTAGTATAGATGACTTTGGTTGTAGGGAGCTGTGGGAGCTGGTCACGCCATTCCTGAGATGGTGGTGGAATTGTGGGTGAAGTCTGTAGCTGTTCTGGTGCTTGTCCTGCCAGGAGAGCTGTGAAAGGGTTGCCCCCAAAAGGATCTTTCGAATTGTTGAGCATTCGGTCATTGAAATCAGTGTAGCTCTGACTCAAGGCATTATTCCCACCTGGAACTGTCTCAAAACCCAGTGTATTCAGTGGATGCTCAGGGTTCTGTGCAGGCTGCTGGGTCTGCATTATCTCTTGAATGATGGCAAGATTCCTGGCTAACTCCAGAGTCTGATATAGGATCTCCGAATTGTCAAGGAGATGGGAGACTTCTGGATTCTGCTGCATCAATTGTTGCATGTCTGGGTGTTCGGAGATGAACTGCCGCATATACTCCATATTGGACTGAAGCCGTTGGATATTAGGATTCTCCAGTATCCGTGCTATACACTCTGAAGTGTCTACTTTCAAGTCCTGCGTACGCACTTTGGGTGCATCAGTCTTCACAAAGAGGTCTGATTCCGTGGGTGTTTGACTCATGCTGGCAGATTTGTATACCCCACTGCTATTTCCTTTGGTGTTTCTGTCCCCATGGCAGGGCTAGTTGACTGGCAGGTTCCTGGAGGAATGGGCCAGGGATCTGGAACCGTGCTTGGACTTGATGACCAGATGGATGGTGTGGCCATCTACGATGCCCCTCTGGCTCAGTGTGTCATGGTCTTTGAGAAGGCGGCCCATGAAGACCAGCACTAGTTGATCCATTTGACATTTGAAGTGAGCCGATAGCTTCTCCTTGAACTGCCTCACTGAAGTGTTATCAGCTACTATAAAGTCTTTCAGGTTGCCTGGTGTCTTCACTATCACTCGAGTAACATTGGAGATGGTCCTGTCTGCAGGCAGACCTGAAGAATGCCCTCTATGGGGCATTTTGGGTGTTCGAGAGATGACATGCGTCATGGAACTTGGTGGGTGGGCAGATGGGGAGTGAGTAGAAGCAGGGGCAGAGGGGTGAGGGCAGGTAAATGTTTCTGCTGGCCTTCGCTGTGGGTGTTCTGTTCTCAAGCCACAGGCTAGCTTTCTTGCTGTCCAAAAATAGATGAGTGACTGGACTGAGACCAGTATTTTTGATGTTGTACCCTCACCCCAGATCTCCAGATGTGGCCCAGCTGAGGCCTGGTGTGGCTATTAATTCATATTGGCACAAGGTGGACTAAGTGGTGATAACTCCCCTCATAGTTGCCCCTCCTCCTGCCCCACCCACAAAGGCCATGACCTCCTCAGAAAAGGGATATTGTGATGTCAACTTGAGCCTCATAGTATGTCAAGGACTAGCTGGGGAAAATGGATGTATTTGGGGATAGGGTCCAAATCTCTATTATAAAATAAGACAATTTTCCAGAAGAACAAAGACAAAATTCCCCAACAAAAAAAGATTTAAAAAAAACATGCATATACACAGATGTTTTGTGTGTGTGATGTGTGTTTCATGTGTGGCATTACATATAGGTCCTTTGTAAAAACATCAGGAGTGTTATATAAAATGTGGGATCTACTAAAGCCATTGACAAAATCACATTCCTAAAAACAAGAATGGAGACTATGCCGACTATGCAGACTATGTCTGCAAAAGGTGGGCCTTAGAAAAGAAACTAGGACAAGAACAAAGATATTATATGGAAAAGGCGATCATGTTCTTCTCTGGGGTCCAGATTTTGCTATTCTAAACTCCAGAGTGTCTCGTTTGGTGGGTAAAACCTTTCCTCTTCTCTAAGAAGCAGGAATAATGCTACACAGGTAGCTCGCTATAGGAGTATTGCAAGCTAAAGGTGAGTGAGCCACCACTTGCAGCACAAGATTTCTTCACATAGTTCATAGGTGGCTTTTTTTTACATACCATCATAACAGAACTTTTAGGATGATTTATTTCAAGGGCCTTGTTTGATTTTAAATGCATCTTTGTGACAAAGCATTAAGGGGGAGAGACATCTGAAATCAAAAGGTGAGAGTGGAAGTGGTCGCTAGTATAATTCCTATGAGGACAGACAGGTTCAGGCAACTGAAAAGTCAGATTCTCAATTTTGGAGATAGTGTTTGATTTTTATTTGGGTAATTGATGAATTAACTATTAGTGGATATGCTAAAATGTCTATGTTGATGTTTGGGTATAGATGGAGTTATTGTACATAAAAGAGTGAGACTCGTATGTCTTACTGGATGTATATTTGTGGATATATGTGGTGTGAAAGTGAATTCATACTTTGTGTGACTGGGAAGACTTCAGGGTCTGAATCCTTAAGCATTCCATCCACCTGCCTGGAGAAGGTGGAGCACTATGCAGATGGGTAAGGGAAATGCAAAGAGTCCGAGTCCATATGTTCTCACTTGTAACAAAGACAAGCAAAACAATTCAGTTTATTGGCTAGGAGACTTCCTGCAGTCACACCTAGAATTCTTTATTGAGAATGTCTGGACCCACAGCCTAATCCATGTCACATCCAGTACAGTTTTCCAATTGTTAACTTCCTAGAGTGGGACCCAGGCTTAAGCCTCTTTTTCAGCTATATATGTAAAAGTGAGATTGATTTATGACACTAAAAAATATTAGTCTTCAAGACCAAGACCCTGCCTCATTTCTCCCTAGGAACCACAAAAAGGATAAGAGTGGTAACTTCAATATCCTACTCTAATGACCAGCTTCCATAGATCTTCTACACTGGATTCAGATGTTCTCAACTGACCCTGGGAATTCGAAGTCACATAACCTAGAAATTTTAGGAGCTGGGTTCAGAGTTTTAAAACACAGAACAAGAGATACCAAACTATCAGAATGAGTGGGTATCATTTTCCTAGCTAAGTGTGTGTGTGTGTGTGTGTGAGTGTGTGTGTGTGTGTGTGTGTGTGTACTCACGTGCTAGGGATTGAAAAGACTATTTCTCTCTCACCATCATGACTGAGATTGAACCCAGGGTCCGGTGCCTGCTAAATATATTCTCTACTACTTGTTTCTCAAGCAAAACTTCAAAGACTATTATTAAATGGAACCTTAATGTATTGATTGAAATATGAATTACATAAAGAATTAGCTACATAGAATCAGGTTTCTTAATCACTTAGAGTCTATGACCATTTTGGAGGGTGGTCCTTCTAGAGGTGAGAAAAAGGATACACTTCTTCCAATGCCCTGTCTAGTCTGAGGTCTCAGGACCCAGAAGGCTTGGATTTGACAACTCTGGGTGGAGCACGATCCCCAGAGGGCCTTTTGGCAGCTGGTCTAGATAGTGTGGGCTTCAGTGTCAGGAAGGTGAGGTCATAATACATTAGGTAACCATCATTGTAGACATAGAGCCTGTGGTCTGAGGGGGAGTAATTGATGCCATGCAGCGTTTCCAGCATCTTGTCCAACAGGATGCTGAGGTGGCGCTCCTGCCCATTGGTGGTATCAAAAGCATAAAAGATCTCCTCTTGGCGAGTGCTCAGTGAGCGTAAGGCATAGAGAACACCACAGGCCATGAAGGCCCCTGACAGGGCTGGCTTCTACTGGCTGGTGCGCCAGGATTCCTCTACTTCTAGGGTGCTGGCATTGAGACGACTCACAACCAGGTTGCCCTTGCTCTCCTCAGTGGCATAGAGCACCCACAGCCCCTTCTCATCACCAGCAAAATCTAAGTCCTTCCAAGGCACGCTAGCATAGGAAAAGCGGTTATTGTAGGTAGCACCAGGCAATGGGCGCTGCAGCACGAGGGTGTTGGAGGAAAGGTCCACTTTGGCTATGTCACTCGTGCCATAGTAGTTAAAGTACATGAAGTTCTTGTACACAGTATTGCCACTGCCATCACCATAGCCCATCTTCCACTGCTCATAGTTCTTTAGCATCACCAGGTCATCATAGGACTTGTGCAGCCGATAGTAGTCAAAGTACCTAGGCCAAGCACCCCCCACACACACATCAGACCATTAGGTGACAGCAATGAACAGGATAATAAAGTGCTATAAAAATGGGCAGGTTAGTGGACCAATTAAGAATAGGGACTTAGGAGCCAAATAGAATTGAGTTTTAATTCATCTTCTTTTACTTCTTATATACCATGACAAAATAAATAACTGTGAAAATAACAGTAATAAAAACAACAGCTACAGTGCCTGTTAATCACTGAATACGCATTATCTTGTTTAATTATAATAAAGCCACTGTAAGGTAGATTTTATCCTTTCATATTAGGGGGCTAAGTCAACTTTGCTCAAGTTGACACAAATTATAAATTTTCTTTTTTTGTTTGTTTTTGCAGTGCTGGGGATTCTACCTGGGGCTTCACACATAATAGGCAAGTGCTGTGTCACTGAGCTACACCCTCTGCCCCTAGCTTATTACTTATATCTGTAAAAGAAACAACAAAAGAATCTACTTCGTTGATTGATGGAAGGCATTGGAATAATGCAAAGGAAAAACAATAGTACAGTATCTCATGGCAGGCATTTAACCAATGATAAGATATTACTGTATTCTTCTTATGGACATTTTTCTGTACCTAGACTCCACTGCCTTTCACCTGCCTTTGAGAGGCAGGTATGCTGTAACAGGACAGTTCTGAAGCTGTATTCAGAAGATCACTCTGGAAAGTTCCTTAAATTATTCAAGTTTTGAATATCTTATTTCTTAACACTGGGCAGTAGGACTTAACTAGAATTTTCAGAAGATTCAAAGAGCAAAGGCATATTGATGTATTTAATATGCTACCAAATGTTTATAGGACTTCAGGAGCATTATTATCACTAAGGCTAATCCTTCTGAGATAAGATACAACTGGATTCTTCAATGACTGGTTCAACCCACATTTATCTCTACTTCCTATGAGCTTCTACCCAATTGATTCCACACCACATATCCGCATGTACTGACTTCAAACTCTCAGTGAGTTGTGCCTACCTTCCTAATCAGACTGACATATTGAAGGGCTCCTTCATCTATTCATTTAGCCTTTCTTGTATCCAACAAATATTCATCAGTCCATATAATGTTCTCACATATTATCCTCATTTTAAAAATGATAAAAAAGTCCATTTCTCCAAGATCACTTAGCTTAAGTAGCAGTGCTGAGAATTAAATTCAGACCAGCTTAACTCTAAGTCTAAAGGTTGGTCAGGATCATTCTGTAAATTTCTTCTAAGCAGGAAGTTGGGATTCTAAGGTCAAGTGAATAATTTGTCCTTGAGATAGGATCAGACTACATAATGGAATCATCTTTGGGTCATAATAAGATTTTTAAAAATTCAGATAGTGGATTTTTTGAAGGAAGCTCATGGAAGTCTGGACCAAACTTATCTCTTAAGAAGAATGTTAAGAGGTGACTTCTTGGGGCTGGGGATGTGGCTCAAGCAGTAGTGCTCTTGCCTGGCATGTGTGTGGCCCAGGTTCGATCCTCAGCACCACATACAAACAAAGATGTTGTGTATGCTGAAAACTAAAAAAATAAATAAAAATTTTTAAAAAAGAGGTGACTTCTTAGGTCTAGAACAGATATTTCCAGGAACACACCTAAAATTGAGGAAGCTGGACTGGTTCTACAAAGAAACCTGCAAAGGAAAGGGGAGGGAACATGTAGAATGAACCTGGTTGCAGCAAACTGTCATCCAGGACTCACCTGCCATCTGCACGCAGAGGGGCCACCCAGTAAAGGGGAGAGTCTGGACTGGGAGCTGAATCTCGGCCCCAAGCACCTGCCTTGTGTGAGATGCCTCTCCAATTGAGCTGCAACACAAGGGGTCTACTGACTTTCTGGAGTCCTCCATGGGCACAAGAACCTAGAGGTAAGGCAGGAAAGTCTGAGCTATGTGCAAAGCATATAATCCAGAGAGAGAAGAATGTTAAAAATAATGACCATGTCTACATATACTATGTGCCTATACCCCAGTGCATATGCAGGTCCAGAAACAGGTCAATTTGGCATTAATAGAGATCA